ATGCTTTTTTTATGCAATTGAGTACTATTCTGCCATAAGGAAAGTTAAACTTGAGATGCTTCTAGATAAATGGATATACCTTGAGACCATACTCTTAAGTGAAATAAATCAGATGCACATGTTTAGACATTGTACTGTTTCTTGGTGTGAGAAATCAAATTGACAAATCAGGTCAAATATAAATATTGTTAAATAGGAAAAAATGTTCAAATGAGAGGGGATCAATGGAAGAGAGAGTGGGAAAAGAAGGAAAGGAAAAGAAAGAAAAAGATAATAGAAGGAAAAAAGGAAACAAAGCTTTTGTAAATAAGGAGGAGAAGAGGAATTGAAGGGAGGGGAGGGATTTGGGGAAAGAAGAAGCAAGATATATCACGTACAGGTACAAATTCCCTAGGATGAATGTGATCATTATGTGTATCTAAATTACACCAATAAAATTAATTTGAAAAATCCAGAAAATAAAAGAATTACAAAATTTTGTGGCTCTCTAAGAGTAAATCTATAGCATTGCATTATCATAGAAAATTCCTTTATATGGAAAAGACCCCTCAGCACTGTGCCCACCACATGCACAGTGTCACTGCACACATGTTGATGTAAAAGTGAAAATGACACCAGTGCCTGATATCACAGAAAGTTGCCCTAGTTGTGCTGTTTCTAAATAGCACACTGAATCAGGCAGGATGGTGTGTGGCTGCAGTCCAGCACTCTGGGAGGCTGAGGAAAGAAGATCACATTGTGGAGTCCAGCACCATTAAGTTGGTGAGTTAGTGAGACCTTAGTAGGTATCTGGGAGAAGAAATGGCTGAGGATATAGTTCACTGTGGAGATGCAAAGTACAAGCCCCAGTATTACAAAAGTAAAAAACTAAAAGGTGACACACAGATAAAAGGATCCATAAATACTTAGATAAAAATAATAAAATAAGCAAGTAACCACTGATTTACTTAGTATGAAGAAAAAGATAAGCCATTGAGTCTTCTTATTAGAGGGAAGACACAGGTTGTGGAACCCCAAGATGTGACCTCACTTCCTCGGCATTATGTCCAAACAGAACGTGGAACCCTTGCTAATGGGCATCACAATCTAGTAACTGCCATCTCCTGAGCTCACCTGTCTGGAGACATTCAACAACGAACAACATGAGCTGCTTCTCCACTTCGAGAGGCCGCAGCCTCAGGACCCCAGGCAGAGAAAGTGTCTGTGAAAGACTAAGAAGATGGCTGACTCCATCCAGACACTGCAGACCACACTGCAGCAGCCACATGACTGTCACAGACACCCCAGGGAAGGTCTCCCTGGGAGTGACCACAGTGACCTACCAAAATCAAGGTACCCCAGGGAAGGGCCCCTAAGCCCAAATACCAATGGTACAGAAACTGGGAAGAGTCCAGGGCAAGTATTACCAGGCCCAGAAACACCCAGTACCTCTGGTCAGGTCTCCCCAGATCCAGGCACAAAAATCCTAGAGAGTCAAAGTCCAGGGAGGGAGACTGAAGTCACAGCCACTGGCCCCTGAGAGATACTGAGAAGCCTGGTGTACATCCACCCAGGCCTGGCTGCCACTACTGGACACATCTTCACAGAGAGCCTTGCAGAATTCCAGTCAGTGTGGTCCCTGAAGGCAGTCAGGCCGCTCTTGTTCTCCAAGCCCTGGCCTGCCTGTTTCCCTGGGCGGCCAAGCTGTCTATGATCCCTTCTTCCCGGGCACCACCACCACCCACACCTCTACCTGATCGGCCCTGATTTTGGGAAGAGACATCATGACAAGATCTTTTGAGAATTCCAGCTCCTTTGAGGGCCTGTGTGATAAAGAGTGAGATGTGTGATGTTTGATAATAAACAGCTTTTCACCACACACTGGGTAGAGCAGGAAGGGGACATGTATTACTGCGTCACCTCAGTTGGAGTTAGATGAAGCCATTAGGCTTTCTGAGCTAAAGAACGATTCTGGGCTCTTAATTCAGGCATCATCTTGTACACCAGAACATCCTAAAGTGCCTTGTCCAGGAGAAGAGAAATCCATCTACCACAGAGCTGCAGGCTGCTGGAGAAAGCTGTATTCTGCAAATGGCCATGCTTTTCAGGCCAAACCCTTCAGCAGGCAGGCTCACTGTGCTGTCTGCACAGACCATGTAGGGGAACTTGGCTGCCAGGTATATAAGTGCACCAACTAGAAACTCTCGGTTCACAAGAAGTGCCACAAACTTGTCACAATTGAATGTGGGCAGCATTCTTTACCATCGGAGACCATGGTGCCAGTCGATCCATCATCCATGGCTTCAGACCATGCGCACACAGTAATGCCACGTAACCTTTCAACTCATGAGGCTTTAGAACAAGTTGATGAAGAGAGTGAGGCAGGGAACAACAGGGAAAGTGGCAAAACTTCATCTGGTTTAGGTCTTGAGGGCTTTGATTTGCTCCGTGTGATTGGCAGAGGAAGTTATGGGAAAGTACTGTTAGTCCAACTGAAAAAATCAGATTGTGTGTATGCAATGAAAGCAGTGAAAAAAGAGCATGTCAACATTATCGGGTACAGACAGAGAAGTGCGTTTCATGGCAGGCATCCAACTGTCATTTTCTAGTTGGACTGCATTCTTGCTTACAGACAGAAAGCAGAGTGTTCTTTGTTCTAGACTACATAAATGGTGGGGATCTGATGTTTCATATGCCGCAACAAAGAATGCTTCCTGAAGAACACACCAGGTTTTACTCTGCAGAAATCAGTTTAGCATTCAACTATCTTCATCAGCGAGGGATACTGTTTAGAAATTTGAAATTGGACAATTTATTACTCAACTCAGAAGGGCACATTAAACTCACCGATTACTGTGTGTGTAAGGAAGGCTTACAGCCAGGAGGTATGACCAGCACTTTCTGTGGCATTCCTAATTACCTGGCTCCAGAAATTGTAAGAGGGGAAGATTATGGTTTTGCTGTGGACTGGTGGGCTCTTGGAGTACTGATGTATGAGATGATGATCGGAGAGTCTCCATTCCATCTTGATGAGAGCTCTGATAACTCTGACCAAAACTCAAACAATAATCTCTTGCAAGTAATTTTGGAAAGAGACATTCTCATACCTCTTTTCCTGTCTGTAAAAGCTGCAAGTGTCCTGGAGAGTTTTCTCAAAAGGGACCCAAAAGAATGACTGGGTTATCATCCTTACAGGGGCTTTGCTGATGTTCAAGAGCATCCATTCTTTCAAAATGTTGACTGGGATATGATGGAGCGAAAGCAGGTGATACCTCCTTTTAAACCAAATATCTCTGATGGATTCGGTTTGGACAACTTTGATCCTCAATTTACTAATGAACCTTTCCAGCTTACAATGATAATGACATCGTGAGGAAAGTTGAAGGATATGAATTTGCAGGTTTTGAGTATATCCATTGACTTATAATGTATGAAGAAGAATGGGTCTGATCCTGATTTTTCAACTATGCATTCTGCTTTTGCCATTTAATGCATGGAAAAACTTATTACCATCCTGGATAGAATTAACCATTTCATAATGTCTGGAAACTTATTTTCATTTCATTTATATAGTAATATTTAGATATAATACTGGCTTATAATCTATAATACAGAATATTGAATTTTTTGTTGAGTTGCTTTTCATCATTTGACTTAAATAACGATGAGGTAATTGTTTGTTAACTTGTGAACACATTCCATTTGTTGAGTGGAGACAGAATGCCTAATATTTTTTCTTCTTATTTATTATACCGTAAAATAATCTGTCTTTTAAATACAATGTCTTACCTATGCTAGATTCTCGTCAAACCGTATTACCTGTTCTTTTAGGGCCTAGTTTATGTAGTCTTTAGGGAAATACAAAAAATACCAATTTTGAATAAATCTGCAGAAAACACTTATATTATAGCTCTATCTTCTTAGTTAAGTTTTTTATTTAATAGAATAACATGAAATACATAGTTGAATTCATGTCAAGAGCAGAGTTCTTCACACTATCTTTATTAAAATTGGTAGCAATTTATTATTAAGGAGTTTCCAGATATAGCATCCCGCTGTTTTAGTACTATTTTTATGCAAAGTAACCATCATCATCTAAATAAGTTACAATGGTACAATCTTAGTCAAATTTAGTTTTAGATAAGATATGTAGTTTTAAATATAGAATTATTTAAAATTTGTTAGCATTTAATAAATTATCTGTTCATTTATTTAGATGCCGCATTTTATTTGAAATGTAACTTTTCCAAAGCATTTATTGTCTTTTCTCCAAATAACTAAGTATGAACATAATGACAATATCAAAGGAAAATATTTTTAGACATTCATGTGTTCCCTTGTAATGCATGTATGTTTCTCTTAATGCCTGGAACTTGATTTAAAACAAAAAGCAGTCTTCGCAACATAACAATATAGAGAATTCTAACATGTCAGAAATATGTTTATGATCTTGCTTTTAAGTGTTGCTCTTTGCCTTAGGGTATTCGGAATGTAGAATAATCATGCATGGTGTTTGTTTCACATGTTTATTACTGATTTCACATTGGAATTCTTTTGGGCCTTTGGACCTCATTTTGAGAAACACTTTCTTCAAGTTCTTCTTTTGTTCTCTGATTAAAGAGTGTATTTAAAGTGTATTCATAGTATACTATTTTAAGATGGTATAAGCAGCAATTTACAATGTTATAAACATTTTTGAACAAATTTTAAATGAATAACTTCATTAGATATCTTCCCTGTTCCCCCAACAAAATCTTAGCGGTTTTCTATCAATAATATACAAATGATAAGCACTCTTCTTTTATGAAGTTCTAACTTCTAGTCTGGATGGTATTTTGTTTTTAAAACTCTGTAGTAATAAGATTGACTGTGTATATTTTGTCCAGAATTGCATTACAAATATGTTTCTAACTATGTTCTATTCTTCGCAGTCTTTAAGTGTCATGGCAATTCTTTTCACATTATATAGAAGTTCTTTCGAAATACTCACCAAGAAAATGGGGCAGTTTCAGTCAGAATGGTGGGCATTTTGGCGTTCTGAAAATAATTTATTTTGCATAGCCCTGTGGTCAGATCATTTTATGCATATGCAGCCTGGGTTAAATTTCAACTACTCTGTTCAGTGCTGATACATTTCCTTCATAAATATGTTTTGTTTTGAATTTGTCATGTAGAATGCTGCCTCGTTCATAATGTAATCTGTATTTCTGCACCTTCTTTTTCATGTTAAAAAAATCCTTAAATGAAACATTTAATACTCATCACAAATTGAAATACTGGGTGTTGCTTGATGATCACATCTCCTTGCGTCAAGTAATCAGTATCCATATATTTCATTTATTGTTCCCAAGATTTTCTTTATTGTTTTCAAAATACCTACATATATACCCTTAAAGGGACCATGTGGTTGATTGAAATGAACACAAATCTAACTATTGTGCTGGGGATTTATCTCAGTGGCACCACACCTGTCTTCAAGTGCAAGGTCCTGAGTTCAATCCCCGGTACCAAAAAAAAGAAAACCAAAAAAACAGCAAAATCCCAACAATCTATTAAAACAAAACACTAAATCTCCTGGAAGACAGAATAGGTAAAACTCTTGAAGACATAGGTGTAGGCAAAGACTTTATGAACAAAACCCTCATCATGGAGCAAATATTACAAAGAATCAAAAACTGGGATCACATCATACTAAAAAGCTTTTGCACAGGAAAAGAAACTACCAACAGAGTAAAGACACAGCCCACAGAATGGGAAAACAATTTTACAATCTATTCCTCAGACAAAGGACTCATATCTGGAATCTATAAAGATCTCAAAAAAGTCAGACCCTCAAATTTAAAGACCCAATCCAAAAATAGATCCTTTGAAATGAATAAACATTTCTCAGATGAAGAAGTACAAGCAGCAAATAAATGTACGAAAAAAATCTTCAACATCATTGGTCATTCAAGAGATGCAAATTAAAACAACACTGAGATTCCATCTCACTCTAGAAAGAATGACTTTTATCAAGAACTCAACCAATAACAAATGCTGGTGGAGCTGTGGGGAAAAAGGAACCCTGCTCCACTGTTGGTGGGAGTGTAGACTGGTGCAACCCCTGTGGAAATCAGAGTGGAGATTCCTCATAAAACTAAAGCTAGAGGTTACTTAACCCAGGCATTCCCCTTCTTGGTATCTTCCTGAAAGAGTTAAAAGTATCACGTTGCAGATGCTTATAGCAGCTAAATATGTAGTAGCTAAACCTTGGAAACAGCCCATCAAAAAATGAAGATATTAAGCAAATGTATTTATATACAATATAGTGTTACACTGCCATAAAGAAAGATAAATATTTGTCGTTTGTAGGAAAGTGAATGCATCTTGAAAACAGGATTTTAAGTAAAATACGTTGGACAAACATGTTTAAATAAATATTGCATTGTTTACCCTGTGTGAGAAACCTAGAGGGTAAATAAGGACCAAACTGTATAACAGATACTCGGAAGTAGGAAAAAATGTTAAATGGGAAGGGGAATAAGCAAAGGTGAAGGGGGAAAAGAAGGCAGGTAATAGGAATAAAAAAATAAATAATGGAAAGAAAACAATAGAAACAAATTTTGTGAATGGAGAGGAGAAAATTGAAGGGAAGGGAGAGTAATGGGAAAAAAAGAAATAAGATATATTATGTACAGGTAAGTTCCTTATGAATGTGATCATCATGTATGTCAAAAGTATACCAATAAAATTGATTAAAAATAAAAGAATGGAAACTACAAAGCGACAGAAACAAAGAATACATTTGGGGATTAGCTGAGAAATGTGTCCAATGTGCACGCAAAAAGATGTTGTATAATATTGGTTCCTGGCTTCAGAATTTCCAACACCAAAAAAAAGCTAAGGAAATTTATGTAAATTCAACTTGTGTATTAAAAAATGTAACACATTTTTGGACCATTTCTTCCTATTTCAAATTATCAATTATTTGTTTAGGGGAAGTGGGAGGGGAAGGGGAAAGGAAAGAAGGGAAAGGAAAACTTATGAGAAAAGAAAAAAATGGAAACAAAGTCTGTGTAAATAGGGAAGGGTGGAGGGAGTGAAGGACACTCAGGTAATGGGTAAAAAATAAGAACCAAGGTACATCATGCACAGGTACAGTCACCCAATGATAAATGTAAATGTATTGTATACCTAAAATGTACCAATAAAAGAATTTGAGCAAAAAAAAGTAACACTTAATTACAATCAGCATTGAGTATATTTTATTAATCGATCTATCTTTAAGATTTATTGTGCAGAGTGGTGATAATGTTAACAGGGAAGTAAATACATTTCAAAATTGCTCAGAGAGTAATTTTCAAATTTCAAATGTTGTCATCATAAAGAATATTTACTGTCAATGGAAAAGTAGCAGAAATTGTATAATTAGTGCCAAGAATGCAGTCTCATATAATGAGTTTATAGTTTCTATATGCTTTCTTACCCTATAACAGCAAAACGGTTAAATTTTATTATACCCTGAGAAGTATTTATATATGATTATCATTCAGTCTATATGATAATACAATTTAAAATGAGAAATGGGAGCTGCCTTTGAACTTAAACATAAGTGTATCCAGCAGGGAAAAGATGGCATAAAGCTTTTCAAGAAATATTCAAAGAAAAATTAAGAAAAAATGATGTTAGAATTTAGCAGGGAAGCAAGACAACTTCCCTATCAAAACGAGGGTCAAAAATTCTGTATGAAAGCACTGTTGGATAGCTTCATTTGGAGAAATCTCACAGGTACTGTGCCAACATAGCAGCTGCCTGAACAAATCTATTTAGGCGACTGAGAGCAATGCTGGGTATTTTCACAAGGTGAAGAGAGAAAGAGTAAATACTAAAATATCTTGTTTGAGCTGGGAGCCAGAGAAGAGCCTTTTCCTAGGGAAGAGCACAGTATAAAATTAGGCTGGCAATATGAACTTGTTGTTCTCTACATCTTTGCACCTCAAAGCGGGACTCATGGATCAGCAGCTTGCTGAATGTTCAGACTGTCAGTTCACACTGCACATCTGAGCCAGTCTGCATTTTCACGAGGTATCCAGATGATCTTTGTCCACGCTGAAGCCAGAGGAATGCCGCTGCACACTACCGAAGAGCATAGGAAAAAGTGTAGGCTGAATTTCAGTACAGAACTGAAGGCTGATTAACAGATCCTAAGAAAACAGTACTCATGAGACCGAGCTTAGATTTCTCAATTAAGGTTCATTAGGGTTTAGGATTAGCACTGAGATTTAGACAAGCAGTAGGATTTAAGAAAGTGGAGAAATGATTCTACAGTGTGTTGTTTGAAACTCATATTAATTGTCCTTCCTCTACAAAGAAAGAAAATGTTCAAGTATATTTTTTCTTTGGAGACGTTGAAGAAGCTACAAATCCTTTCTCCCACTTTGTCACTTAATTCAGTTTCACCTTTCAATATATTCCTCTTCTTGAAATGTATTTTAAATTACCAGCACACTCTCCCTCATCACTCAAACTCTGCCAGGCTTTCAGTGATCTATAGAAAGTTATATTGAAGTCATCAGATGGGACCTAAATTTCTGTGGCTGTATCCTAGCC